ACTTTATTAGTGCTTGTAAAGATCTACCTGGCAAATTCCTCTTGGGTTATCAGCCTCGAGGCAAACCAAGGTAAAGGAGAGATAAGCCCAGCAGCTGGACTGCTGCCAGCACCACACCCCTGATTTTCCTTCTAGTTCTGTCAGTATCCCTCCTAAGTCAGGCCTCCTTTCATCCAAAGTGTGTCCTCCTGACAGGATCCATGTCTAGTAGTCAATCTCACCCAGGAGACTCCGACATTTCTAACCAGCTGGCTGCCACAAACGGTACTGCTCTGTGCAAGGGGTGTCACTAGGTAGAGTGTGAGCAGTGACTGATAGATTTCCTTCAAGGAAAGGCAAGGTGTTTTGGAGCTCTTCTTTGAGAGCAGGATGAGAACAACTTGGTTAGGTCTGCCTGTTCATTTTCAGTCCAGCCATCACCTGAGTTTGTAGGCCGTGCCTGTTCTGACTGTGGCCTGTTAGTTTGAGGGTGCTGGAAGCTGGTGTGGCTCTGAAGCAGCCTGTGATCTCCTGTACTCTCTTGCATTCTCTGCTCCTCACAGGATAGAGTATGTGACAGTGACACCAGAAGGATTCCGCTACCGGGGCCAGGTCTTCCCTACAGTGAACGGACTCTTCCGATGGTTTAAGGATCATTATCAGGATCCTGTTCCAGGTGAGCACCCCAAAATCTGAGTGTCTCAGCTGTTTCAAAGCAGTACTCAGCTTTTTGTCTTCCATGGAGCTGTGAAGAGCTCACCTGACAGTTGATCTTTCAGCTGAGTGGGTCATGCAGCAAAGGCTGGATTTGGCCTTTTCCTCTCCCTTAGCCTTCCCCACCATACAGTCCTGCCCACACCATGCCCTGGTAAGGCAGGATCTTGCCAGAACAAATGTTTCCAATTTTTTTTTTTTAATCTTTAGTTTAAGCCAATGGCTTTTCTTTGGGGAAAATGAATCCATCTCTTTTGTCTCATGTTTTGTGCAGGTATTACTCCCAGCAGTAGCAGTCGGACCAGGACTCCAGCCTCCATTAATGCTACTCCAGCTAACATTAACCTGGCAGGTCAGTGTGGGCCTTTTCTGGCTTGGAATTGGGGCACAGGGTCCTTCTCCAGGCTCTCTCTGTCTAACATAACGGCCTTTCTTGCAGACCTGACCCGTGCAGTGAACGCTCTACCCCAGAACATGACTTCCCAGATGTTCAGTGCCATTGCTGCTGTGACAGGGCAAGGGCAGAACCCAAATGCCACCCCTGCACAGTGGGCATCCAGTCAGTATGGCTACGGAGGCAGTGGAGGTGGCAGCAGCGCGTACCACGTAGGTGCACTTTTTAAGCCTTTGAAGGGAGTTGAGGCAAACAGCAGATCGCTCTGGCTCCTGAGGAATGTGGCAGGGTAGAGAGAGGGGATCCAGCGGTGCGGGCACACAGCTTTCTGTGATTGTGGCCTTCTTTCGACAGCGTGAGCTGCCAGAGGAAAGAGATTAGCTGTGAAGTTATGTGCTGAGTTTGCAGGGCTTTTCAGCTCAGCGTGCTAATCTCTGAGCCGCACCGGCAGGCGAGCACCTCAGCCTGACTGAACACCCACAGGCTTTGCATTGAGTGAGATGAAGGTGAACAGTTTCAGCTCGTGCTGAAGCCTTTCCTCATGCATGCTGGTGCCTACCTCCACCAGCACGCATTGCCAGCTCCCCAGCTGACCCTGAGGCAAAATGCAGCTGCATGGAGGTGCCTGGGTACAGGAAACACACCCTGCCAGCAGAGAGATCTAACAGAGAGGTGCTGCAAGACAAGGCTTGCATGGAGGAGTGATCCTCTTTTGGACCACCTTGGGAGGCTTTCATGGAGTTTGGCAGAAGTGTTGAGCTGAGGGTAGACAGGGACTGTGGATAACCCAGTGTATTAAGGGGATCTGAAGGGAGGTGAACAACGTGAGGCAAAGAGACTGAGTGCTCTGTTGGGCAAACAGTGAGCCAGCCGGCTGGGACTGGGAGGGAGCTGTCTTTTCTGCAGCCCACTGTGGCAGAAAATCAAGGCAAATGTGTCTGTTTTTCATGCCCACTCAGATATGATGTTTGTGCAAGCTTTCCCAAGTATCTCCTGCGCCTGTCTTTCTTCTGGTCCTCGCCTTTGCTTGGTTTCAATGTCTCCCCTCATACCCAGTGGGGAAGGCTGGCTGGTTTATGACTGGAGACTCAAGGGGGAGCAACAGGACCCAGAAATGTCCTGTGCTTAGCAGGGTGTTTCTCATTCTGCCCTGCAGCCCCTCGTTCCTTGGGCTGTGATCATTGCAAACCTCTCCTTGCTCAGATGAGGGGCTCCAGCAGGCCTAGGAGAGCGCAGCAAGGACATGCAGCAGCAAGCAGAGCAGTGGGGAGCGTGCCAGATCTCTGCCTCACAGCCCAGCAGTTTTCCTCTGTCTCCTAACAATATCTGCTCCCTGCAGGTCTTCACAACTCCAGCGCAGCAACCAGTGGCCACCCCTCTGATGACCCCCAGTTACTCCTACACCACCCCCAGCCAGCCGATCACAACGCCCCAGTACCAGCTCCAGGCCAACACCACACCGCAGTCCACGCAGTCCCAGGCACAGTCGCAGCCCTCGTCCAGTTCCAGACAGAGGCAGCAGCCAAAGTGAGTGGAAGAGTCGCATGCATGTCTGTGTCGGTTGCTTTCATGGTAGCACTGAACCCCATGAGTTCACCCCCGTGGGGCAGCGGGGAGGGAGGGCAGGGAAAGCTGCCCCAGTTTTTCTTGCCCGTGGCACATCTCACCTCCTGCCCGTGTCGTTACAGGACCAACAGTCACGCTGCCATCGACTGGGGGAAGATGGCCGAGCAGTGGCTCCAGGAGAAGGAGGCTGAGCGGAGGAAACAGAAGCAGAGGTTGACTCCTCGCCCGTCTCCCAGCCCCATGATTGAGAGCACACCCATGTCCATCGCCGGGGACGCCACGCCGCTGCTGGATGAGATGGACCGATAGGCCGTGCTGGACCTGACCCCGACCCTCCGTTCCCTTCTCTAGGAAGGGGAAGGGAGAGCACAAGTTGAACACGGCCTCCCTTCCCTCAGCCACGTAACTCCTGTTTTATACATCGTGAGATGGTGGGAAACGACTCGTGGTGATGTGCACCTGAGTGAACGAACAGACTTGGCAGAGCTGGTCTAAATATGTATACTATATATATATAAATATTTCATAGGAAAGGACAGCTGCAGCGGCCTCTGTGTCCCAGCTCCTGGCTCACCACTTGGGTGGAGCGAATCTGTCCTTCTGTGCGCACAGCAGTGCTGTCACTGCGACCACGAGGAAGCAAACCCAGCAGGATCTGCACACCGCTGGCCTGGAGTGAGCCTGTCCTATTTGGACTCTCCCATGCCCCGACCGTCTCCTCTCCTCACCCAGGGAGCGCGAAGCAAAGCCACTGGGGTTGTGACAAGTGAACCAGAGTTCTCAAAGGGTTTCTGTTGCCGTTTGCTCCGTGATCTCACACGTAGCAGGCTCTGCAAAGTCTGTGCCACCCTGCAGCCAGGGCACGGCAGCTCTGGGGCTTAGGGCTCACGCCAGAGAGAAACGCAGCTGTTGTACCAAAGGCTTGCTCTCCTCTGGCTTCTTTTGGAACAATATTTATTTAGTTTGTTTTGTTTTTGTGGGGTTTTCTGTTGTTTTGTTTTGTTTGTTTTTTTTTTAATCAGACTGCAAAGCAAAACCCCGGGCAGCAGCAGCTTAGCACAGGACAGACACATGGGCCGAAACACTGCAAGAGCTCCTATGGTGGAGAGCACCCAAAGCAGCTGAGAGTGCATGGCACCCTCCTCCATATCGACTTCCTCCTGCCCAACTGTAACCAGAAGGGGTGAATAAACTGTTTCTACGCTGGTTGAGAGGTTTTGTCTGCCCTGCGGTGCCTGCCCTCTCTTAGCGAGGGATTTGCCGTGGAAGGCGGTGAAAGTCACTGCTCCTCCTTCCTTCGGTGCTTGGAGGCTGAAACTTCTGCAGAGAAGCTGATTTGTGTGAAGCTGATCAAAACAGATACGTGCAGGCGTCGCACCCACATAGCGGGCACTGCCTGAGCTCACAGCTCTCACTGCCTGCGAGAGACCCCTGGGCTGGGAGCACGGAGCTGCGGTCCCAGCAGGAGCAGCTGCAGTGCAATGGAGAGATGGTTCTGAACTGGAAAGTTTTCTTTGCTGCACACTTTTCTCCTTTCCTCTTTTGTTAGTGAGGGTTTTCTATGGAAGCAGAGCCTTTGTTTCTCCTTGGGCTCCCAGTTCGCCTCCTCTTCGCTAGGAAATGAGCAAGAACCTCAGCCCCGCTTCAACAAAGGGCTTTTTGCATGTAAATGCTCCTGAAGAATGGCAGCAGCACAGGGGACAAAGCAGACACTGAGCCATGCGCTCCCGTTCTGGGCTGACATCGCGATCTGCAGCCTCGCAAGGGTGGGATGGGGCCTCTGCCTGCCTGGGTGGGGGGCAGCCCTGCTATAACCTTCCGCTATTTTCTTTCTTTCTTTTTTATTTCATGAAATTCGATGGCAGGATTCTGACTGGGAGCAGCTCTTTACCGGAGCCATACTGAGGAGGGGCGGGGGGGGGCTGACTGAGTGCTGTCGGCTCCTTTCCGGCCCTCTTTGTTTTTAGTTTTCCCAATTAAAAAGTTCTACTTTTGGGAAACTGCCTGCATCCGGCCTGTCTGTGCATCCTGCATCTGTGCTGTGCTCACAGCATCCCTGATGGGGCGGGAAGGAGAACGGCTCAGCCCTGTGCACTGCTGTGACTGCCAGCCTCAGAGCCACAACCAGAGCCAGTGTGAGCGATGAGGTGCAGCTGGAGCCCACGTATCTCTTCCTCACACGGCTCTGCAGACCTTGGGTTCTCCCTTGCTGTCATACACCAGGACCAGACCCGTGTGTCGGATGGGCACCACTGCCCCATATCCCCCCTCTCTGGCCCCGCCGTGGCTCTCGCCCCGCAGACCCCCAAGCACTGCAGTGGCTGCTCATTACCCACTTTATTCATTAACACAACCAGGGCCCCCACAGGGTGAGCGTGGGGCTCAGGCTGCCTCAGTGTTGCTCTTCAGCCTCTTCTTTCTGTTCCTCTCCTTCCTCCTCCTCTTCCTGCTGCCCTGTCCCCCTGAGCTGGGGGCAGTGGGGGGGATGGATGCGGCGTGGCTCAGCTCCCCAATTCCAGAAGGGCTCTTCTTCAAACTTTTCCCCTTCTTCCTCTTCTCCTTCATCCTCTTCCTCGCTTTCACAGCTGGGGGATCCAGGGGTTCCCCCCCAGGCCACGCCGCCCTGTCGATGAGCTCCCCACCAAACTCATACAGCACCGGCTCCTTGGGCACCGCCACGGCCACCGTGTTGTACGCCCTGCACCTGGGGACAGCGAGACAGCACGGGTCAGAGACAGCAACAGCAGATCCCAAACCAGGGGGTGTCACTCACCACACGTAGAGGTACGGCTGCACGCACTCCTCCTTGTAGGCAAACTCGAAGCACGGCACCTGGATGACGTTGAAGAACGCCTGTCCCACCACGCGCGATGCCGTGTCGTTCACCTGCTGCAGGCACTCCTTCAGCCTGCACCCAAAGGAGGGTCAGGATGGGGAGAACCCCGCTGCCATTCCCCCCCAATCTCAACTATGGGGGTCAGGGCTGCTCACCGGCGGTCGCAGTCGCAGTGGCTGATGGTGTGCCAGCGCAGGTTGCGGTAACCGTAGCGGGAGGTGAAGGGGTGGATGACGTGCTGGCAGTGGTCATGGTCACGGCAGCAGCGGTCGGTGTCACGGTGCTCACCTGTGGGGTGAGGGCTGAGGGTAGGGCTGGGGAGGGGGCTGCGTGCAGCTGGGATGGTGTTGGGATTGGGGATGGGGGCTGCGCTGGGGGAGGATTGGGATCGGAAAGGGTGGCGGGATGGAAAGGAGCAAGATTGGGGCTGGGATGGGGTCAGAGTTGAGATAGGGTCAGGATTTGGGCTTCAGTGGGATTGGGGCTGAGATGGAATTGGGGATGGGATTGGGGCTGAGATGGAGTCGGATAGGGGCTGGGATGGGGTCAGATTTGGAGATGGGGTTGAGATTGGAGCTGGGATGAAATGATGGAGATGGATGTTGTTGAGATGGATGATGTTGAGATGGAGTCAGGGATGAAAAGGGGTTGGGATCAGGGATGGGATGGGGTCAGGAATGGAAAGGAGAAGGATTGGAGCTGGGATGGAGTCAGGGTTGAAATGGGATAGGGATCAGGGATGGGATGGGGTCAGGGATGAAATGGAGTTGGGATCAGGGATGGGATGGGGTCACGGATGGAATGGGTTTGGGATTGGGGATGGGTGGCTGGAGAAGCCACATTGGGTAAGAATGGGGATCAGAACTGTACCAGAAATGGCACTGGGATCAGATTGGGATGAATGAGGGGAGGCAGCAGGATGGGGATTGGGGCTGGATCAGCACCACCCTGCTGATCAGGATGGAGTGGGTTGGGCTGGGACCGGTCTGGGGACCAGGCTGAGATGAGCACCAGGATGGAGACCGGGCCGAGAGCAGAGTAAGGACTGGGTATGGAGCGTGTTGGACAGCAGCAGTAGGGGGATCGCTCTGGAGAGGGCTGGGAGAGGAGCAGCACGTGGGGAATAGGATAGCAGAGAGATGAATGGACAGGGACAAAGCTGGGGATAGGGGTGGAGATGGGTCCCCAGTCCTGTGCTGGGGAGCGGAGCAGCACTGGGGGGGGGAGGTCTCACCATGGGGTGGGTTTGGGCACAGCTCCTTACCCAGCTGTTCGTAGCTGTCCGCGTTGCTCCCGGCGCCGCACCACAGCGTCCCGGGGTAGGTGAGACCTCGGCGGGCACGGGGCCGCCCCGACGGGGCCACTGCGGGGCTGGGGGCCGCCAACAGCGGGAGGAGGAGGAGGAAGAGGAGGAGGGGGAGGAAGAGGCAGCGCAGGACGCACATGGCATCGCGGGGCCACCGCAGCTGCGGGGCCGCCTTATAGCGGAGCGCGGCACGGCACGGCCCGCCCACCGCGGGGCGGCACGGCTCGGCTCGGCACGGCGCAGCATTGCACGGCCCGGCTCTGCCCCGCGGCAGCTCTGTCCATCCCCGCGTCCCGGTGCCCGCGCATCAAGGCTGCCAGCTCCCCTCCCCGCCCTCTGCCAACCCTCGGACGGAGCCCATTTGCAATCAGGACGCGGCGCCCGTCCGGTGGAGCGGCGCTTTGGCAGAGCTGGATGGTGCCCGAGTGTGGACGTGTGCGGCCTCGAGAAGTCCCTGTGTTGGCTCGGACCCCAAATCTGCCCGTGGGGCTGCACCCCGAGCACCGCTCTGGCTCCTCCAAACCCCGCACCCGTGGGATGCCCATACAGCTCCCTGTGGGGATGTGCAGGGGGCTGGGGGTATCACACCGGGACGGCTGTGGGCACAGCTCCCTGCTGGCCCCATCCCAGCTCCCTGCTGTCCCAAGGCGTTGGCGGGGGCCCAGAGCTACGGGCAGCCCCCGCTCAGCTGTTGCTGTCTGTGACACTCCCCATGACGGTCCCACACTGGGTACGGAGCATGCGCAGGGACACCAACGGGGCGATCGGAGGGGACATTAAACCCTATGGGGTGTGAATTCACCCCTTGGGAAGCCAACAGCACCCTACGCATGGACCTGCGCCACGTCCCCGCTGCCCGGGAGAAGGGCTGGTACCTGGCACTGATGGCCCCCAACACCAAAGGTCCCCACTACGCATGGCTGGACCCGTCCCGGCTCTACTGCCATCCGCAAGTACCCAGCGACCACACGGGGGGCACCAAGGGGGTGGCACTGAGGGGTGCTGTGGGGACACCCAGCACCTCCATATCTACCTTCCCAGGGCTTGAAGGACTGCGTGACCGACCTGCTGCAACCCTTCCATGGAGATCCCATTGACCTGGTGGCCGGCATCGATGCCATGGGCTTCATACTGGGTAAGGGGGGGATGCTGGGGGGGTCCCCGATTCTTGTCCCTATGGCGGGTGACAGTGCCATCCCCAGGTGCCGCCGTGGCTGCCACGCTGCATAAAGGCTTCTTGGCCATCCGCAAAGCCGGGCATCTCTGCGTGGAGACGTTGGCAGAGCCCTACACCGACTATTCGGGTCGGGAGAAGGTGATGGAGGTGCGCACCGACACCGTGACACCGGGTGAGCTGAGCCCGTGGGGTGGGCACTCCTGCAGTGGGGCGACAATGGATGCTGGGGTACAGCTCTGCCCCCCCCCCAGGTATGCGCATCCTCCTGGTGGATCAGTGGGTGGAAACCGGGGGCACCATGCGAGCGGCCATCCAGCTGGTGGAGCGCCAAGGGGGGGTCGTGGCAGGTAGGATGGGCACCGGGGGGTGAGGAGGGGGGGGGCAGCCATAGGTGATGCAGGGGCTGACGCTGAGCCCTCATTGCATCCTGCAGGCGTCGCAGCCATCTGCATCGAAGACAGCGAGGGAGGGCGGTGGATTCGGGAGCGCTACAAGTGTGCCCACTGCGTGCCCCCCCGCCTGCAGCCCCGCTTCGACCAACACCAGATGGGTTGGGAGTGAGGCTTGGCACCGCAACGGCTCTCCTTCCCACCCACCAGCCCGACGGCTTCCTTAAAAAGCATAAAAAAATCATTTTATTACAACGAAGGCTGGGGGTGTCCCTTCTGGGGGGGTTTGCATAGCTATGGGATGCCCCCACCCGCCGGGGCTGCTGCTCTTTGGTACGGAGATACGGGGTGCCGCGGGGCTCACTGGCAGCATTTGGGCTTCTTGCGGGGTGCTGACAGGTACAGGTCGCTCTCGGTGCTGCCGATGCCTGCAGGATGTAGGGGTTAGGGTTAGGGTTAGGGTTAGGGTTAGGGTTAGGGTTAGGGTTAGGGTTAGGGTTAGGGTTAGGTGGGTGGGTGGGGGTTTAGCCATGGAGGGGGGGTTTGTGGATACTCACGCACGGCATCGCCGATCCGCCGGGCACTGCCGCGTTCCAGCTCTGCCAACACACTGCTCTCAAAGGTCAGTGCTGCCACACGGAAGAAGAAATCCTTCACGTTCTCTCCTGCCCCATAGAAAAAGACTCCTGAGCTCCAGCGGGGGGTCACCTCACCCCCATCCCCCTCCAGCTTTGGCCATGTCCCAACCTGTGAGTGAGGACACAGCCCAGAACTCTGCCTGCATCTCCTGGGCCACTTTGAGCGCATCCTTCTCCATCTGGCTGTACTGCGCCGGTGTCTGCCAAGGGAGGAAGGGTGGGCAATGGCGACGGCCCCACGGCACAGGGAGAGCCCACGGGAGGGGGACACACTCACGCTCAGGTCCTTCTTGGAGCCCACCAGGAAGAGGATGACGTTGGAGGGATCGTTCTCCTTCAAGGCGTCTGCCAACCACTGCCTGTGGGGCCACATCGCCATGCTGCCGAGCGCTGCCCTCTCGTTTGCACAAAGGAGGTGACACCAACCCCACAGCCACCTCCAGGCCCACTGTATCCCACGTGCCACCTACCGTGTGTGGTCCAGGGATGCCACATCATTGACATCAAAGACGATGACGATGGCTGTTGAGGGGGATGAAGTGAGCTACAGGGACGGAGGTGGTCGGAGGGGACGTGGGGACGGTTGGTGGGGATTTGGGGGGGGTCTCACCTTGTGCTCCCCGGTAGTAGGTGGAGGCGATGCACTTGAAGCGCTCCTGCCCAGCCGTGTCCCATCTGGGTGGGTGGTAGGGGGGGGTCAGCAGGGGCTTGTTGTGTGGAGGGGGGGATGACACAACGCCAGTGCTACTCACAGCTGCAGGCTGAAGGGCACCCCCAGCACCTCAAAGCGCTCCATCTCAAAGTCCACCCCGATGGTCGCCTTGTAGTTCTTGTCAAAGGTGTCCTTGCAAAAACTGTTGGCGGGGGGATCGAGCAGGATGAGCGTCAGCCCTGGGAAGGGGGAGGGTCCTCCCACTGCAGCCCCCCCCAGCATCCCTTCCATCGGGGTTACCGGTTGATGAGGCAGGTCTTTCCCACCGCCAGGTCCCCCACCACGATGATCTTGGAGATCTTGAAGCTGTGGGAGCACAGACATTGCAGGAAGGGGGGGGGGCACACAGTCGGCTCCCGGGATAAGCACCGCTTTGGGGGACCACCCGCACCCCCCTGCAGCACAACACCCCCCATCTCTCCGCCCCTCCCCTCAACCTCCCCCCCCCCCCCCGCCGCATTCCTGTGCCGTGACGCAGCCCTGCAGCGCCGCAGCCACGCGGCGTCTTCCTGCCGGGACCCCCCAGTTTGTGTAGGGTGGACAAACCCATGGACCTCCCCATCCCAGCCTCACCCCACAGTGCCCGTCCGCTGCTCCTGGCAGGCGCTGGTCACACTGGAATGGAATTCGGGGCGGGTGTGCAGGGCGGCCTCCTTCCGAAAGCACTGCGGTGTGTGTTTGGGGGGATGGGGGGGAAACAAAGGGGACCCGGTGAGGCTGTGGGTCAGGGAGGCCTCCCCCCCCGGGTGCTGTCCCCTCCCCACTCACCTGCGGCAGATCGGCCACCACCCTGTCCCTGCGCACCGGGGCCAACACGTTCATGGTGCCCCACGGCCGGAGGGATGGGATGGGCGGGATGGAGCGGGGCTGAGGGAACCGCTAGGCCTGCAGAGATGGGGTGGGACGGGGGGAGCGGTGCTGTGGCTGTGTCCCAGATCCTGATGTCACCACGTCCCCAAGTTCTGCTGTCTCCGTGTCCCCAAGTCCCACTGTCCCCATGTCCCCAAACTGTGCTGTCTCCACGTCCCCAAATCCCGCTGTTCCCCATATCTCCAAATCCCACTGTCCCCTTGTCCTCACATCCCACTGTCCCCAATTTTCTCTGTTCCCATGTCCCCAAATTATGCTGTCTCCATGTCCCCAGGTCCCATGTCTCACTGTCCCCAAATCCCACTGTTCCTGTGTCTCTAAGTCCTGCTATCCCCAGGTCCCACCATCCCCACGTCCCCAAACCCCACCATCCCCACATCCCTGCAGATCCTGCTGTCCCCGTGTGCCCACGTCCCGCTGTCCCCATGTAAAGCATCCCGGAAGGCGCCCATCCCCACGTCCCCACCTCTCCCCATCCCACTTATCCCCACGTCCCCCGGGTGCCACTCCGGCACACAGCCGTCTCCCCGTCCCAGCTGTCCCCGTACTCCGCCGCCGCACCCCGGGGTTTCGCTGCCCCTCCTCCCAGCTGTTCCCTGTCCCCTCCCGGCGGTACCGAGGGGCGATCCCCGTTCCCCCGCCCCTCCGGCTCCGCTCGGTGCTCAGCGCCGCACACTCCGCCCCGGAGGCATCGGCGTCCACGCCCCGCCCCGACCCGGGAGGGGACCGGGACTACAATTCCCATGATGCCCCCGGGGGGGGGGGGAAGCGATGTGCGCACGCGCAACAGAGGCCCCTCCCCCAAGACTACCCTTCCCGGCAAGCCCCGCGGCGAGACGGAAGGGAAATCTCGCGAGGTTTGGAGCTAATAAGCCCGTGCGGCGCGGGGAGGGAAGCCCCTTTCGGCTCCTGGCTGCCCAAGATGGCGCCCAAAGCGAAGAAGGAGGGTGAGGGCGGGCGGACGTGGCGGGGCTCTGAGGAGGGCGGGCGCCGGGCTACGAGGCCCCGCGGGGTGCGGTGGGGCTGTGGCGGTCGGGCTGAGGGGATCGCGGGGTGCTGGAGGGCCGCGGGGCGGCGCCGGTCCGCGGGCACGTGGAGGGCACGGGGGAGGCCCACAGCGGCCGGCCTGGGCTGGTTACGTGAGGGCAGAGGGGAGAACTCAGCCGGGCTGTTGTGAACGAGGCACTCGCTGCCTGAGGAGCGGTTTGGGCACAGATCGCCCGTCGGGGTGCCTCGTGAGGAGATGCGGCCCGCTGGGGCAGGCGGGGGGGCTGCTGGGCACGCAGACCTGCTTTGCGCTGACTGAGGTGTTGTCACAGCCGTGCCGCCCAAGACGGAGGCGAAGGCCAAAGCGCTGAAGGCCAAGAAGGCCGTCCTGAAAGGAGTCCACAGCCACAAGAAGAAGAAGATCCGCACGTCGCCCACCTTCAGGAGGCCCAAGACCCTGCGCCTGCGGCGGCAGCCCAAATACCCCCGGAAGAGCGCCCCGAGGAGAAACAAGTACGTGGGGGTGGTGGGCCTGGCAGGGCTTTGTGTGTGGGGACGGCCCCTCTGCGGGTCCCACGGTAAGGCCTTGCCCATGTGCTGCCTTTGGAGCTGAGCCGCGTTTTCACTGCGGAGCATCGGGGTGCAAGTGATGATTTCAAGCGACCAAAGCCTGAGAGTTTGTGATTAGAGCTTTTTTGGTAACTGATGTACCCTGGATACTTCTAGATGATAGCTGATATTTTAGAACTCTTGATGCGTACACACAGCTTCTGCAGTCCTTTTTTAAGCTGAGGCAATCTTTCTTGCAGGCTTGACCATTATGCCATTATCAAGTTCCCTTTGACCACAGAATCGGCAATGAAGAAGATAGAGGATAACAATACTCTTGTTTTCATCGTCGATGTCAAGGCAAACAAGCACCAGATCAAACAGGCAGTCAAGAAGCTGTATGATATCGATGTGGCCAAGGTCAACACCTTGATAAGGTAAGGGGGAGAGCAGTCACTGCTGTAGGAAATTTGGACATGTGTGAGTATGGAATTAAACTCTGTAGTGTTCTCAGTGCTAAAGCTGTGATAAATAAAATCTAATGACTGAACGCATCGTAGTGGGAGTTTAAAATGGTGTTATGTTGGAAAGTTGGCTTCTTCTGGGAGTCCTGCAGGATTTCCGTGCAGATGATGTGAAGTTTTTTTACCACTGAGTAAACTGATGTTTCCAAAGGAACCACTGATGCACACCGTTGCAATAGGAATGTGGAATAGGTTGGAGGATTTGTGTGCCTCAGTACTGACACCTCCTGTTCCACTCTAGGCCTGATGGGGAGAAGAAGGCTTACGTCCGACTGGCTCCCGACTACGATGCCCTGGATGTGGCCAACAAGGTGAGTGATATTTGAAGCTGTCAGCTCCCATCTGCTGCCTCAGATTTGCTGTACCTCCTTCTTCTTGGTGTGCACGTGAGGCACTTGTGCTTAACGCACGCCAGTGCTGCTGCAGAGTAGTTTGCAGTTAAGTGGGATCGTAGGGTGGTTAAGCAAGAACAAATGCTGTCTGATAAAACCTTCTTCTGCCTGTATGAGGTCAGGGGAGTTACTGACAGAGCTGCAGTTCTTGCTCTCCTCCAGGGAGGGGCTCCACTCCACAGGGCTGCGTGAATTTTACAATACTGAGGAGGATGCAGAAACTGCCTCAGGGTGAAGTGGTGTCTGTTCTAATAGTGTTCACAGACAGAGACGTTGGCAGCGCTCCTCGGAAAGGAGAACGTGCTGTCACAAGCACTGCTAGGGCCTGGGTGAGGGATTGCTGCTGTGCAGGTGGCTCTGCTGCTGGAAATGGCCAGGTGGTTTGGTCCTTGATGGCTGTGGGAAGCAGGAGGCTGTGGTGGTAGGTGTTGGAGGTGGGGAAGGTGGCTGTAAGGATTAACATGAGAGTCACAGCGGAGCAGATGAATACGTCAGCTGTGTGAGGCGCTGGGCGAGTCTGGTAGGAAGAAGCCTGTTTCCAGAGGAAGGAATCCTGGGGAGATGCAGCTGCGTCAGTGATGGTGGAGGCTCTGCCTTTCTGCCTCCATAACATCTGTTTTAACATCTTTTGCTTCTTTCCAGATTGGAATCATCTAAACTGCATCTACCAAGGACTGTACAGACAGGATAATAAACCCTGTAAAACCACTGAGGGGCTCTTTGTGTTTTGTGACTACGTAGCCCATGCAGGAGAGCTCCCAGGAAACTGTTGAGGCTTCATTTCAGTAAACAGTGTCCCTCCCTCCCTCCTGCTGAGGCACTTGGCAGAAGCTGGCTGCTCTCAGAGGCTCACAGTGCTGTCCCACACCTCACACTTCATTGCTGGGCTCTCCTGCATCACTGACATGTTCTCTGCCTGCTGTGGGTAAACATCAGTGAGCTGGCACTCCCCTGAGTTGCAAATCGCTCTGTTGACATCAGTAGGATTTCAGAATAATGCGTTTTGCTGTGTAATTATTCATACCTGTTTGTGGTGCTGGTTCTCAGCATCCTCCAGACTTCCTTGTGGAGCGTGCCACAAGCTGCTCAGTGCCCAGGAATAGGCAGGTACAAACTGCAGCAGAATGCGTGCGTGGTTCTCAGCTTCTATCACCTGTCAGCTTAGGCTGCAGGTTTCTCTGGACAAAGCCCTCAAGCAAACCCAATAAAGTGCTTAGTAGTTGCTTTTTTTTCTTTCTTTCTGGCATGATCCGTGCTCCCCTCGCTGCAGCGTGTGAATCGCAGCCTGCTTTCTCTGACACAGTTCCTGTTGTGTTGCCTGTGACCTTGCTGAGTTTGCTGTCCTCACCAGGGCTGTTTATAGACTAGCTGCTGCTGTTGCCTTGGCAGTCATTTATTTCCTCAACCAGCTTTTTGGAGCGCTTGGAGAGGCACAGGAATGTGGAGCACTGGGTGAGGAGGAAGTAGATGCGAAGCGCGGATAAGCCTGTAGGAATACTTAGCATGAAGTGTGTAGTTTGGCTTTAGGGAAGAAAGCTGTGACCAAATATTGACTGGGGCAATTGAATTTTTGGGTGGTGGGACACCAGGTTCCCTTCATGCCTTCTGGGAGTGGTGGAATCCTGAGCTCAGTAGTGGTGAATGGCGAGGGGAGGCTGTTCTGGTTGCCGCTGCTTTGGAGACTGGATAAAGATCTGCTGTGGGCTGAGCTGCACAGCACTGCAGGGACCTGGGTCAGATGTGCTCTTTCGTGGGGCTGGGTCTGATGTTCCTTCTGGCTTTTGGAAGCCACCTGCCTAAAACTCCTGCCTGTGGCCTCAGCGCTGTGGAAAGGGGACAAGCAGCATAAGGGGCTCTGTAGGTATTAGCTGAGCCCTGTGCCTCATCTTTAGCTGAGCTGCAGTTACCCCTCTGAGTAAAATGAGTTCTTTTTGGAGAGCCTTATCATGGAGTGAGGAGCAGGTATGTCCTGCAGCCCTCCGTGGCCATGTGGAGGCTGGGCTGGGGAGGATTTCACTTCAGCATGACTTGCAATCTGCCCTGACCCTGCCTCAGCTTAGCCTGATGGCTGCATCTGGCTGGCACTCAGTGTGCATCTTCCCTGTGCTTCTTGCTCTGGGCTGGCAGCCAGCCTGACCCACAGCTGCCCCAGTGCTGTTGTACAGCTGGAGGATAGGGAAAGCTTGGTCATCCCTGACCCTTCTACGCTGCTGCAGTGGTGTGAGCATAGGCTGATCACTGTGCTGGGAGAAAAGAGGGGGAAGGTGATCAGGAGGGAGAACAGTAGGAGTTAACTGTGCAGAGTGTTTACAGGTTGAGTTGGTGCTTCAGCTGCAGATAGGAAGATGAGGTGTAGTGGTTGGGATGTTTTAGTGGTAGAGCTGGGACCTGCTGGGGCAGGAAGAGACCCTGCAGCTCAGCTCAGGGCCTGCTTGCTTCTGTTCTGGCACTGAGAAAGGAGGGGGTGAGTGAAGTGGTTGGTTTGGAACGTGAGTAGATTCCCACCCAGCCCATGTGTGATCCCACACTTTGCATCTCCCCTCTGGCTGCCGGGCTGCTCCTGGCATGCAGCCCCCTGTGCCAGCGACAAAACCAGTGCCCCCCGGGTGTACCTGGCACTGTGGGGCTTTCCCAGCCATCTGGAGGTGGGCTGAGTCCCCCCTGCTTCCACTCGACCTGCAGCACCATGTCCACGTGAGCTGGGGATGGTGTGGGTAAGCACTGATCCTGCCTTGGAGCAGGGGTTGGGCAGGAGTCCCTCTAAGCCCTGCTGCTTATACCAGTCCAGGGTGATCCTGGAGCTGTCGCATCAGCAGGATTTGCCTTCCTAACACACTGGTTTTCCACAGGACTGCCTGGGCTAGCTTTGGCCCTGCTGCCCTAGAGAGCTGCACCCCTGCTTCCAGAGGGGCTGCTGCCACTGCAGTCAGTCAGGTGTGCTCGTAGGGGGCTGGAGCTGCACAGTGCTGGTGATGGCAACCCCGGGGGGACTGAGTGTGCAGCAATCTTCCAGGAAGAGCTGTGGCCTCACACGGTCTTCCCATGCCAGCTCCACTTCACGTGGCTGCCGGGTGAGTCATGCAGCCCAGCCAGGCTCTGTGCCGCCAGCCCAGAGGCAGGAGGGTTGGGGACTGCAGTGGGGCTCAGCACCACTCCTGCTGCCCTCATCTGTGCCCCACGTCCCCACACCTGCTCCTTGCACAGCCCCAGGGCTGAGGGATGTCAAGCACTGAGGGATCTCTGGAAAAATAAATGAACAGAGGGGGAACGGTCTGTGGGAGCGCTGGGACCAAGCATCCCTGGGGGCTCCCTAAACCCAAGTGAGTTACAGAACTGCATCCTCTCCAGGGAGCTGGGATAACGTCTTTTCCCATGCTCCCACCTCATCATCCTTCCCCCCAGCACCACTCTACCCCACACAAGAGCCAGCTGAGGCATGCTGCGGCAGCAGTAACCAGACCCATTTAATGCACAGCACACCCAACACCACCACGGGTGAGGCTCAGCCCTTCCCTCACAGACGCTCCTGGCCGCGCTGGCGCAGAAGCCGGCTTGGGCTGCGACTCCATCGGCCGTGCCCCCAGCTTTGGTGGCATCCCCACGGCTCGGCGAGGCTGTCGGGCTGGTTCCAGCAGGGTACAGCTTATAGGCAGCAGAGTGGGTGAACGCAGAGCCCGCAGCCAAGGAGCGAGCCCTAAGGCACATAGAGCAGGTACGGAGAGCCCCGGTCCCCAGCGCGCGTGCGCCTCACTCAGTCAATGAGGAACTTCTCACCATCCACATCTCTCCCAGCGGATCCCTTACGCAGGGAGGGGAAGAAATCAGAGCGCAGGAGGCGGGAGAAATACATGAGGATCATGGCGTCGAGCAGCAGGAGGTTGGCCATCAGGAAGGCGCCCTGGCCCTGCACCTCCACGTAGCGCACGAAGTACCAGGTGAGGTAGGCCTGGGGCGCCAGGCGGAAGGCGAAGTACATCACCAGGTTGACGTACTTGTTGGCCTCGTAGAGCGCCGGGGAAGGCACGTTGCTCATCTTCAGCAGCATGCGGATGGTGAGAAAGATGTTGCTCACCTCCACCAGCAGCAGAAGCATCGCCGCCACCAGGAAGCGGCCCGTGATGATGAGTGAGACGAAGGCAGAGATGGCCTGCAGAGCGGGGCACAGCGAGGTCAGCACCCTACGCCCTGCATGCCTCCCTGCGAGATCCTACAACCCTTACAGCATCCAAGCCAGTCCCAGGAGCTGCTTCCCCCAGGACTGACGGCGCTGGGAAGCTCTGCCCTCCCAGCCTGGCTGTCTCCAGATGCTGGCAGCCGTCCTGCCTGCTGCCTGCACAACCCACCTGGCAGGCAGGGTGAGGCATGGGCAGAGCTCCCGGCTGGCTGAGCCCTGGGGTGGCATGTCACCTCCCCACAGGGCAGCGTCACCTTCCCTACAGCCACACTCACCATGGCATGGTGCACCAGGTACTCCCAGGACGAGCGGGACTGCTGGTTGAAGATGATGTCGAGGCTGTCGTGGATGAAGTAGCCTGCAAGGTAAGAGAAGAGCGGGAGTGGGAAGGGGGAGAAGAAGGGACTTGGAGTGCCAGCAGGGAGAGCTGTACCCAGGGGGATCCTTCCTGCTGGTGGAGGCACAGAGGCCCCGGACCAAGTGAGCGCTCACCTGAGGAGAAGCAGACCAGCAGGTGCCCTGAGACGCTGTATCCATCCTGGATGTCGGAGAGCAGCTCCGGGGACTGCCAAAGGCTGCGGGGAGGGAAACGGGCTGAGGCAGAGCGCTGCTGTGGGGGTTCGGCCCTAAGACCCCAGTCCTGCCACGGGGCGCAGGGAGGAAGCGGGCGGTGTTTCGCACTCCCGGGCTGTGGGAGAGCCGTGCGCGGGCTGCCCACGGCATCACCCCCCGAGCTCCCATCCACCCCCGATACCTGAGTAGGGCCCACAGCCCGGCGAGCACAGAATGTGCGAAGGAAACGAGGAGATTCCTCCAACGCCAAACGCGCCCGGGTCGGCTCCTCACGGCTGCGGGTCGGGGCAGGGCCAGAGCCGCCCGCCTCAGCGCCCCGAACAAAGCCACGCTGCCGCCCACTAGGGCGGCCGACGGCGCCCGCCAGCCCGGGCCCATCGCGCCCAGCTCCGGGGCACGGCGCGGGGCGCGCGGCGGCGCGGGCTGCCGGGCGCGGGGCGGGGCTGCCAAGGGGCGGGGCCACGAGAAAGAGAGGCGGGGCTTCGCCTGCGGACACGCCCATCGGCAGCTCTGCGCATGTGCGTGGGGATTGCGCGCAGTCTGGGCGAGTGGGTGCAGCACACGCGTGTGCAAGGCAGGGGTGGCACGCAGGGTGTGTAAGCGTTAGGTGTGCATGCTGAAACCGATTGCGGCGTCTGTGTGGGCATTGCACGAGTGTGTGTGCAAACCGGCCATTGCACGTGGGGTTTTAAAGCGTGCGTGCATGCTGTGGATGCGTGCATCGCTCGTGGACGTATGGAGCGCTATTGCGTGGTTTGTGGTGGGCGTTACACACCTGTGTGTATGCGCTGAGCGTTGCACACACCCACACCACGTGTCAGACTGGGATGCTGACTGCAGGCGTGCGACGTGCAGCTGGCGTGGGCCCTGCTCGTGTCCCGGGCGCGGTGTGCATGCCCTGGGTGCCCCCCACGAGCAGAGCTCGGTGTCGCTAGGTGGCAGCATGGCCCCGTGGCACGGC